CCCCGCTAAACCTCCTACGCATTTCACAAGTAGTACTAATCGCACATCTGCATTTCCCATAAATATGCTAAATTCCTCTTGATATGCAAATTATTTTGTCAAGGCGTTCTTCCCCCCTCCATCCCAGCTTAAATAGACGCTCCAAGCCTGGGGTGTGTTATTCAGACTCTGTCTTCTCGACAGACCTGTTCTCCACCTGAGGATGGCTGCTTGCGTTGTGGCCGAAACGTCGTGAGAATTATTTTATTATGTTTTATTTTTATTATTTTAATATTTCCATTCTACGTGACTTTACCGAAAGAACAAAGAAGAAGCATCGATATCGTTCACATCAGTCGCTCAGCTATCTAACCATTCGAGACCACCATTAGAGTTCATATCACTCTTTACAGCTCTCCAGACCTTCTAGAGCATCATTATAGTTAACACCAGAAACTCAGTTTTCTCGCTTTTCTAGAGCATTATGAGAGTTCACATCAGTCACTCAGTTCTCTAGCCATCCTAGAGCATCATTAGAGTTCAGATCATTCACTCAACTCTCTAGCCCTCAGCGCATCACTAGAGTTCACATCAGTAACGCAGTTCTCTAGCCCTCATTCAGCAGCATGAGATGTAACCTCAATCGCTCACCTTTCTAGTCCTTCTATTGCACTATTACATTTCACACCAGGCACTGAGCTATCTCGACCTTCTAGAGCATCATTCGATTTCCCATCACTCAGTCAGCTCTCTCTGCCTCTACAGCATCACTAGAGTTATCATCACTCACTCAACTCCCTGGCCCTTCTAGAGCATGATTAGAGTTCACTTCAGTCACTCAAATCTCTAATCATTCTAGAGCATCACTAGAGATCAAATCACTCACTGAGCTCTCCAGTCTTTCTACAGCATGATTCGAGTTCACTTCAGTCAATGACATCTCTCGCCCTTCTATTGAACCATTGGATTTCACATAAATTGCTCAACTCTGGTGCGCATCTATTGCTCTATTAGATTTCACACCGGGCTCTCAGCTATCTAGCCCTTCTAGAGTATCATTACATTTCCAATCACTCACTCAACTCTCTAGCCCATCTAGAGCATATTTAGAGTGCACATCACTCAGACAGCTCTTTAGCCCGTCTACAGCAGCATTAGTGTTCACATTAGTCACTCAGCTATCTAAATCATCTAGAGCATCCTTAGAGTTCACACCATGCACTCAGCTTTCTAGCCCTTCTAGAGTATTATTAGAGTTCACATTAGTCACTCAGTTATGTAACCCTTCTAGAACATCAGTAGAGGTCACATCACTCATTACAGCTCTCTAGTCCCTCTGGAGCATCATTATAGTTCACATTAGTCTCTCAGATCTCAGCCCTCCTAGAGCATCGTTAAAGTTCACATCAGTCGCTCAGTTATCTAGCCCTTCTAGAGCATCATTATAGTTAATATCAGTCGCACAGCTCTCTACCCGTTCCTTAGCATTATTAGAGTTGAAATCATTAACTCAGCTCTCTAGCCCTTATTGAGCACCATGAAATTTAACCTCAATTGCTCACCTCTCTAGCCCTTCTATTGCACCATTACATTTCACACCAGGCACTGAGCTATCTTGACCTTTTAGGGCATCATGAGATTTCTCATCACTCAGTCAGCTCTCCAGACCTAGAGCATCATTATAGTTGACACCAGGCACTCAGCTTTCTAGCTTTTCTAGAGCGTTATTAGAGTTCGCATCTGTCACTCAGTTCTCTAGCCATCCTAGAGCATCATTAGAGTTCACATCAGTTATTCAGTTCTTTAGCCCTTCTAGAGCATCATTAAAGTTAACATCACTCATTATATGTCTCTAGCGCTTCGAGAACATCCTTAGAGTTCACATCAATCACTCAGTTATCTCGCCCTTCTAGAGTATAATTCTAGTTCGCATTAGTCATTCAGCTCTCTAACCCTTCTAGAGCATAATTAAAGTTAAAATCATCCACTCAGTTCGTTCTCTAGCCATCAGCGCATCGCAAGAGTTCACATCAGTAACTCAGTTCTTTAGCCCTCCTTGAGCAGCATGAGTTTTAACCTCAATCGTTGGAACCTCCTTTACCAGTAGCAAACTATTATAATTGGTGTAAATTCTTACCCTGAGCTCTCATACTCTGATGTTGCATTGTCCTTGAGTTGTGCGCCTTTTGGCATCATCTGGTCCAACACCATGTGAGACGAGGCTCTAAAAAAAGCTGTCTCGGGTGTGGACCAATCAATTTCAAAGACAGTGCATACATTATCAGAGATGTGTTTTTTTATTTGCATTCTGACTGCAGGTATTGTGGTCAATGCAAACATGACTCCTTGTAAAAAAGGTGTCAGTTTTGTTGCCAGATAAATTGGTGAAAAACAATTATCACCATGATTAGAGTTCACTTCAGTCACTCAGATGTCTCACCCTTCTCGAGCAACGTTAGAGTTCATATCAATTGCTCAACTCTGGTGCCCATCTATTGCTCCATGAGATTTCACACTGGGCTTTCAGATTTCCCATCACTCAATCATCTCTTTAGCCCGTCTAGAGCATCATTAGAGTTCACATTAGTCACTCAGCTATCTGATCCTTAACGATAATCATTAAAGTTCACACTCGTCGCTCAGCTCCTTAGCCCTTCTAGAACATTATTAGAGTTCACATCAGTCACTCAGTTCTCTAGCCCTCCTAGAGCATCATTCGAGGTCGCATCACTCATCACAGCTCTCTAGCCCTTCTGGAGCATCATTAGAGTTCGCATTAGTCGCTCAGCTCTCTAGCCCTTCTATAACATCATTAGAGATCACATTAGTCGCTCACCTCGCTAGCCCTTACCAGAGCACCATTAGAGTTAGCATCACTCAGTTCTCTCGCCCTTCTAGATCATTCGAGTTCACATCACTCATTACAGCTCTCTTGCCCTTCTAGAGCATTATTAGAGTCCATATCCCTATCTCAGCTCTCTATGTATTCTAGATCATAATCGGTGCTCACTAGCCCTTCTAGACCATCATTAGAGTTGACATCAATCGCTCAGCTCCCTAGCTCTTCTATTACACGATTATAGTTCACACAAGGCACTCAACTCTTTAGCCCATCTAGAGCATCATTAGAGTTAACATCACTCAATCAGCTCTCTAGCCCTTCTACAGAATCATTAGAGTTCCCATCAGTCACTCAGTTCTCTATCCCTTATAGCGCATCACTAGATTTCACATCAATCGCTCAACAATCTAACCCTTTTATTGCACCATTAAATTTCACACCAGGCACTAAGCTCTCTAGCCCTTCTAGAGAATCATAAGTTTTCACATCAGTCGCTCAGCTCTCTTGTCCTTCCAGAGTATTACTAGAGTTCACATCCGTTACACAGCTCTCTAATAACGATCTAGAGGGGCTAGAATTATCATCAGTTGCTCAGCTTTCTAGCCCTTCTAGAGCATCATTAGAGTTCACATCACTCGCTCAGCTCTGTAGCCCTTCTATTGCACCATTATAGTTCATACAAGGCACTCAGCTCTCTATTTCTTCTAGATCATCATTAGTGTTAACATCAGTTGCTCAGCTCTCTCGCCCGTCTAGAGGAACATATCGACCCCTCAGCTCTCTAGCTCTTCTATAGCATAATTAGAGTTGACATCAGTCACTAAGATCTCTATAACTTCTAGAGCTTCATTATAGTTAAGCTCAGTCGCTCAGCTCTCTAGCTCTTCGAGAGTATTATTATAGTTCACTTCAGGCACTCAGTTCTCTTGCCCCTCTATAATATAATTAGAATTCACATCACTCACTACAACTCTCTTGCCCTTCTAGATCACCATTAGAGTTCACATCACTCACTACAACTCTCTTGCCCTTCTAGAGCACCATTAGAATTCACATCACTCACTACAACTCTCTTGCCCTTCTAGATCACCATTAAAATCCACATCACTCACTACAACTCTCTTGCCTTTCTAGATCACCATTAAAATTCACATCACTCACTACAACTCTCTTGCCCTTCTAGATCACCATTAGAATTCACATCACTCACTATAACTCTCTTGCCCTTCTAGATCACCATTAGAATTCACATCACTCACTACAACTCTCTTGCCCTTCTAGAGCACCATTAGAGTTCACATCACTCACTACAACTCTCTTGCCCTTCTAGAGCACCATTAGAGTTCACATCACTCACTACAACTCTCTTGCCCTTCGAGAGCACCATTAGAGTTCACATCACTTACTACAACTCTCTTGCTCTTCTAGATCACCATTAGAGTTCACATCACTCACTACAACTCTCTTGCCTTTCTAGATCACCATTAAAATTCACATTACTCACTACAACTCTCTTGCCCTTCGAGAGCAACATTATAATTCACATCACTCACTACAACTCTCTTGCCCTTCTAGAGCACCATTAGAGTTCACATCACTCACTACAACTCTCTTGCCCTTCTAGAGCACCATTAAAATTCACATCACTCACTACAACTCTCTTGCCCTTCTAGATCACCATTAAAATTCACATCACTCACTACAACTCTCTTGCCCTTCTAGATCACCATTAAAATTCACATCACTCACTACAACTCTCTTGCCCTTCTAGATCACCATTAAAATTCACATCACTCACTACAACTCTCTTGCCCTTCTAGATCACCATTAAAATTCACATCACTCACTACAACTCTCTTGCCCTTCTAGAGCACCATTAGAATTTACATCACTCACTCAGCACATCAGTCACTCGACGCTGCTGCTGCTGTTCAGACAGCAGCAGTCACGACTTGCGTGCGCACGACCAGCCTTGTCTCGTCCACCAACTCCAGAGAGCCGAACTTGTGGCCGCCCCATTCCCCCCGTTGGTGAGCAGTTATTTATATTTTCTTTCCGCCTGCCGCGTTCTGCCATCAGTGCTTCAACAGCATTTCAATATTTCTCACAATCCTCTAACGTGCTGGATTTGAATCACTGATTCCTGTCCGGCAGTTTGTGAAGTCTGTGTGGCACGTACCCTGCTGCTGGGTGCTGATCGATGTCTCCGTGGCTACTGCTCCAGGGTCTGAGATCAGCTGGGGTCCTCTTTGCGCCCCTTTGCGCCCCTTCCCTTGCCTTCCCCCTTACCCCACCACCCCCTCCCCTCTTACCTCACCACTCCACCACACGCACACATGGCATCAATTGGGAACGGGTCACGGCGCCTGCCACTTACCCACAAACGAGAAAATAATAACAGTGATGATGAGGATGATGAAAATTCCAAACCCGTCAATGTGGACAGCATCCAAGAGATAGTGGCCGACGGAAGAGACAACTGTTACTGTGATGGGATCTGAATCTCCGTGTCTCAACATCTCCATGTCATTATGGGATCTTAATATCAGGGGCTCAGTATGTCACCATCATTGTAATGATACATCTTAATGTCAGTGTCTCAACATGTCATTGCCATTAGATCTGAATCTAGTGTCTCAACATCTCACTGTCATTGGAATGAGATTTCAATCTCAGTATGAGTCTCAATCTATCATTGACAGCCGGTATCTCGACATCTCAGTAGTGTCTCATAATCACCGACCTTGTCACCGATATCTCTCACCTTGATCTGTGCCCGTTGTATTTTCTCGGCAAACGATCCCAATGACCAAGTGTGTGCCTTACCCTGGTGGTGCAGGAGGAGGTGGTGGTGATGATGATGATGATAATGTGTGGAGCCTTAGTGCCATGGCCAACACAAGTGGCGATTCAGCCTCAACTGAGTACCTGGTGCGGTGCGTAAAACATCATCGCCAGTGGGGAGACAAAGGCGGTCGGGCGTGGTGCTGGCCACCCACCTCCTCGTGTGCCGTACCGGCCTTCATAGGCGCAAATCTCGGCCACTCTCAGCCGACTTGAGACGTCCAAAGACGGACGCAGCGTCGCCGAGCCTGGCTCCAGCTCAGAGACACGTGGCAGTTTCACGACGAGACACGTGCCAGTGAGTCACAGCGACTGCTGATCACTGACACCAGCGGGCGAGGGTGTGCAGGGTGCATGTGGGTAGCAGTGGCGAGCGCGCTGCGCGATACCACCACGTGGCCGCTACAAACCCGGCGACCCGAGTTCGATTCCTGCTCACGGCCAACAACCAGCAACGATTAATCTGAACCGGTCATGGATCTCCCCTAGGTCGACTCAGCCTCAAATTAATACCTGGTGTAATGCGTAAACATCGCCACTAGGGAGACAAAGGCGGCCGTGCGTGGTGCTGGCCAATCATTCCCTCGTGTACCATGCCGGCCTTCTTCGGTGCTCGCTAATAGCACTTGCAACAACAGTCTATTAAGGCTATACAGGACGTTTTTGTCTTTGTGAGGAGATGAGTGTGCGAGCGATTCCGTGAATAAATGACGAGTGTGTGAGTGAGTTGCTAAAAGGTGTTTCATGTGTGTACATAGCTAAGTGAGTGAGTGAGGGTAGGCAAATTAGTGTGTGGCGATATAGGTGAGTGGGAGAGCGAGTGAACGGGTGTCAGGTAGTTGAACTATTGAGTGAGTAGCTGAGATGGTTGATGAATGAACGAACGGTTAAATGGGCGAGTGAGTGACTTTTTCGCAGAGCGAGTGGGTTAATTAATGAGCGTGTGGGTATGTGGGCTGCCTTCATCCAGCAGTGGATTGACCATGGCTGGGAGGCGGCGATGATGCCCCCTGTACCCGGGGTCGTGAGTCCCGGCAGCGGCGGCGGCGGCAGATACCACCACGTGGCGCCAAGGGCCACACCAAAAGCCACAGCCGCTGTGGCCTCTGGTGTGGAGCTCATTATGGGGTGTGAGAGTGGGTAGCAGGGCAGGGAGTGAAATCGCTTTTCCCTTTGATTGCATTGCCAAAAATGAAGGAGGCCAGCACCCGCCCATCTGCCGATTCAGTGTTTCCTTCACTGTGTCCCAGAGCACAGCCCAAGGAGGAGAACCCCCCACAGCCATCCCGCCACCTTGGACAAACGACCCGATAGGGGCCCCCCATGCAACCCCCCAGCCCACACTTATTGGAAGTTCGCATTGAAACGTCGCTCTGGCTCAGAGGTCAGAGAAGCTTGAGACCCAGACGCACACAGAGACCCACATACTCACACAGAGACCCATAGACTCACACAGAGAGACCCACATACTCACGCAGAGACCCATAGACTCACACAGAGACGCAAAGACTCACATAGAGAGCCACAGACTAACAAAGATACCCATAAACTCGCACAGAGACCCATAAAGTCACATAGGGATCCATCGATTCACAGAAAACCAAAGACTCACAGAGACCTATAGACTCACAGAGAGATCCACATACTCACGCAGAGACCCATAACCTCAAACAGGAAACCATCGACTCACACAAGGACCCATACACTCGCACAAAGACCCAGAGACTCACACAAAGAGCCACAAACTCACACAAAAAGCCATGCACTCGTGCAGAGACCCATAGATGCACAAAGACCCACAGGCTCACACAATAAATCACATACACAGAGAGGTATAGACTCACACAGACACCGAACGACTCACTCAAAGACCCATAGACTCGCGCAGAGACCCATAGACACACACAAAGACCGACACTCACACAGAGACACTTGTGAATAAACTGGCTTAACTAGTGTAGTCAGTCGATGCTCTCAGTGCGATGACCATTGACTTAAACATAAATCTACATTCAGAGTTACTGTGAAACCAGTGCTTATTTTTACAAAGCCACCAGGTACTCATTTAACGTTGAGTTGATCTAAGGAAGGTCCAAGTCTGGTTAAGATGTTTGTAACTGGTGTTAGGCACAAGAGGGACTCCAACTCGGGTCCACTTTGAGGCCACCTTGAAGCGTGGAAGTCTGTCTGCTGGCAGGTCACGGGACAGACCCAGCAGGCGCCATGGGGTTGACTGACCTAGATGACTGCCAGATGTACCACCTGTGCTGTCTAATGTGCCAGGCTACGTGCAGGAGGTCACGGGACAGACCCAGGTGCCAATGGGGTTGATTGACCGAGATGACTAGCAGATGCACCACCTGTGCTCCTTAATGTGCTGATTTGCCGATTTGTAGCTGGCCAGCGCTCTGCTCATTGATGTGTCGCCCCTCGACCATCCACTGTGGTTTTAAATGGATTCTGAGGTGGATGCCCGCACTACCGCAGTGGAAAAACGGCAGGCGCATCTTACAGACGACAAGCCGATGGTCAATGGGCATATCCGCTCCACGGGAGGTGCTGGTGTCAATGATACGGGCCCGCACTCGCTGTTCGACCGCTATGTAGTCCAACAGGTGTTCTTGCTTGTGTTAAGTACTGTACATGGCAAAGGTTATAGTAGGGTGAGTGGAGCTGGATGGAAACAGCTTGGAGGGTACTGTACGAGGGAAGGTTCGAGAAGGGAAGTAGAAGTTGGTAGAGACTGCTGGAAGCATTTACCGGGGAAAGTGGTGGAAGTTGCCAGGGCTCGACCAGGGCGTAAACGAGCGGGTAAGGGCAGCGTGGCCCACAATCAGGGCCACGCTGACGATATTGGAGCTAACTACTCAAGATCTACATCGTGGAAACCATCGGGCTGACTGCTCAAGATCTGCATTGTGGAAAACATATAGACTGTTTAAGTTAATCGAGTGGGAACCAACGGGGCTGCAGATAGTCAGAGCCATCGTGAGTCGTACTCTTGCCTTTGTAAATAAGTTATCATTTCCCTGAAAATGGAACCTGCGAAGGAACTTCTTTACACTTGGACCCAGCATGCATCCATGATCTTGCGTGTAAGTGCCAATGTCGAAACAGCGTGTTGGTCATTTCAAGCCCATGAGCTGCACAGAAGTCTAGCAGCCTCCTACATCATTGTTATTGAGCTGGCCTGGCCCATACCTTTCAATCGCTCCAGTTCAGGTGCCTGTATATGACCCACTCGGGCATTAAAGTCAGCGAAAAGGATGACTCTATCCTGAGGGGCCGAGTTATCCAGCGCGTGTGACAGGAGGCAAAAGGTATCGGACTCATCAGCCTTGCCTGCATTCCTCCACTGATGTTCATCTTGGGTGGAGATGTTTAAGTCACCACCACCATTCCTCAACTCCCATTGATGAACCACACCGCCTTGCTGCTCTCGTTAAGCAGCACAAACCATCAGGTGAACTCCGGTCATCCTCACAGTGGCAGCTTTTGGCGCGCTGTTGCGGTCGTCTAGAACGTTCTTCCTTCTGATATTAGGAAGCTACTGTGGAGATATACATCTTTAAATCTCAATTTAAAACTAATTTCTTTATAACTGCTTTTGTTGTGTTTAGTTTGTTGTCCTTCTCCCGCGAAATATGCACATACGTTAATCGAGAGGCATGCCCCACAGCAGCCTGGGACTCGCAGCTTCCCATACCTCAGCGACACGCCAACCCCCCCTTCATTCTCTTCTTTTTTCAGAAGAGCCACTCCCTGTAGTTTGGTAGTTTCCTGTCTCCACTAGATGACTGTCTACCTGTCAGAGTTACTGGAGCCAGAACCACTCTGCCGGACCTCCTGTATACCAAAGGTCCAGGTGGTACCAGTCCTGCTCCAGAGGGGTGGCCAACACCTCGACGGCCGCCTTTGTTTACCCAGTGGTGATATTTACATATCACACCAGGTACTCATTTTATGGGGAGGCACATGACCGGTTCAAATAATTGTCACTTGTATCGGCCATGAGCGGGGATCAAACTCGGGTCACTGGGTTGGCAGCGCAGCGTAACACTAACCCCGACGCCACCATAGGAGTTACACAACACAAACACCCCGCCATTCACCACCAAGTGAGTTACACACACAAACACCCCTCCATTCACAACTAGGTGAGTTACCCACACACACACGCCGCCATTCACCGCCAAGTGAGTTACACACACAAACACCCCTCCATTCACCACTAGGTGAGTTACACACACAAACACCCCTCCATTCACCGCCAAGTGAGTTACACACACAAACACGCCGCCATTCACCGCCAAGTGAGTTACACACACAAACACCCCTCCATTCACCACTAGGTGAGTTACCCACACAAACACCCCTCCATTCACCGCCAAGTGAGTTACACACACAAACACCCCGCCAT